TGTATTTTTGAGAGCTGTTCTTCCATACTGACCTTTTGTTTGGTGGATTTTTAATTAAAACTTGTTTCTGATTTTTTTCAAGCTTAATATAGAGGGATGGTTAAATATAATATATGGATGGGTTTAAGTATTCCTTTCTAAAGTACTGGATAAAAAATAGTTGATTTTTTTGGATCATATATTTGCAGGGCATGGTGTCCATCTGAAGAACATTTTACTTTAAAAGGAAAGATGCTGTCTCCAAATGATAAAAAGTTAGAAAAACTGGATCCGTTTTATCGACCTTCAGTGTCCAAGCAGAAGACCAGTGCAGAAATCATAAGTGAAGCACGAAATGCATTAAGAACAGTTAGAACCCAAAGACCATTTACACCACAGGAAGACCAAAGAAAACTATTTGGACCTGCATCTTCCAGAACACCAGAAAATAGACCTCCTTCCTCCTTCAGGTATATGACATTTCACTTTTATGTACACTCAGATATTTAAGCACCAGGTTACATTTTCCCATAATTCTACTTATGGATAGTTGGGGTTTTTTTTTTTAATAAACTCAATTTTTTAGAGCAGTTTTAGGTTCACAGCAAAATTGAGTAGAAAGTACAGAAATTTCTCATATACCCCTGCTCCCACACATGCATGGCCTCCCCTATTATCAACATCCCCTAGCATTTGTTACAATTGATGAACCTACATTGACACATCATTGGCACCCAAAGACTATATAGTTTATGTTAGGGTTCACTCTTGGTGTTGTACATTCTGTGTGTTTGGACAACTTTATAATGACATGTGTCCACTGTTACAGTATCATACAGAGTAGTTTCGCTGCCCTGAAAGTCCTTTCTCTGCTTATTTATCCTTTCCTCCCCCCAACCCCTGGCAACCACTGATCTTTTTACTATCTCCATACTTTGGCCTTCTCCAAAATGTCAAATGTCTAGAATTGTACAGTATGTATCCTTTTCAGATTGGAGTCTTCCACTTAGTAATATGCATTTAAGTTTCCTCCGTGGTTTTTCCTGGTTTGAATATCTCATTTGTTTTTAGCACTGAATAATACTCCCTTATCTGGATATAGCATGATTTATGTATCCATTCACCTACCAAAGGACATCTCAGTTGCTTCCAAGTTTTGGCAGTTACAAATAAAGATGTTTTAAACAACCATGCATAATTTCTAGAAACTTTATAGTTAAAAAAAATGTGTAAGTTTTTGTGTGGACATAACTTTTCAACTCCTTTGAATAAATACCAATAAACATGATTTCTAGATCACATGATAAGAGTATATTTAGTTTTGTAAGAAACTGCCAAACTGTCTTCCAAAGCAGCTGTATCATGTTGCATTCCCACCTGTTCTTCCAAATTCTTGCCAGCATTTGGAATTGTCAGTGTTCCAGATTTTGGCCATTCTAATAGGTGTGTAGGAGTATGTCATTGTTTTAATTGACATTTCCCTGATGACGTATGATGTGGAGCAACTTTTCCTGTGCATATTTGCCATCTGTGTGTCTTCTTTGGTCAGGCATCTGTTAAGGTCTTGGCCCATTTTTTAACTGGGTTGTGTTCTTATTATTGGATTTTAAGAATTCTTTGTATATTTTGGATAATAATCCTTTATCTTATATGTCTTTTGCAAATATTTTCTCCCAGTCTGTGGCTTTTCTTCTTCTCTTGAAGGAGTCTTGCAGAATAGAATTTTTAATTTTAATGAAGTCAAGCCCATCAATTCTTTCTTTCATGAATCATGCCTTTGATGTTGTATATAAAAAGTCATTGCCAGACTCCAGGTCATGTAGACTTTTTCCTATGTTATATTCTAGGAGTTATATAGTTTTGTGTTTTACATTTAGGCCTGTGATCCATTTTGAGTTACTTTCGTGAAGGGTATAAGGTTC